GGGGGTGGGGTGGGGTGTGGTGGTGGTGGTGGTGACGGGACAGACAGGGTTGCAGGGTGGCGTGGGATGGTGAGGAACTCGGCCTGGCTCTGGAAACTTCGACGTCCCCTGCAGGGGTCGGGCCGAACCTGCTTCCCGCCCCCGGGCTGCGCGGGTCTGGTGGTCGGCATTGCGGCTCCAAGTGTTGCGAAGAACCGAGGAGCCGGGCCTCCCTTCTCGCGCCCAGTTCTCAACTCGGGGCACATCGGGCCAAGCCCAGGGACCTCCGCGACCCTGGGGCCTGGCGGTGGGTGGGGTGGGGACTCCCCAGCTGCCCAGGCTACAAGGTCGGCCCCGCCGAGGCGCACCTGTCCCCACGGTGGGCGCCGAGACCGCGGAAGCGGCGCACAGCGCCGGCCAGAGGGCGCCCCAGAGGGGCCGCGCGGTGCTTGAGGGGCCTCGCAACAGCCGCTGCTTCCGGACGCTCAGCCGGTCGGAAGGGAGTGTGCAGGGGTCTGTGGGACGGTCTCGCCCCTACTCCTTCCACCACCTACGCAGGAAGAGGAAGCGGGAGGGCAGGAGAACAGGGCGCCAGGCCGGACGCTGTCTCGGCCACTCGAGGCCCTGTGCCCGCAGAAGCCTCTTCTGCCAGTGGAGCCCGCTGTGGTCTCTGCGGCCAGCTCCCTCCGCCTCGGACAGGACGCACGCAGCAAAGGAGGCATCCTTGCACCCTGGGCTTGGGCTGGGAGACGCTGTCCTCCCCAGAACTTTTGGGCTTCAGGGATGGGACTTAGGGAACCACGTTAGGGACATTTGGGTATTGCTCTATGACATCCCAGCTTGGCACAGTCAGTCATACTGGGCATGGCTGTTACATGCGGTGCCTTGGGTGTGAGCTATGTGTGTGACTGACTGGAGGCTGCATGTGGGATGTGCTTGCGTCACTCATGTCAACTGTGTGCACATGTGTGCTGGGCCGGGGGCACCCTATGTGGGCTATGGGGGACAGCCTTAAAGTACCTGAACAGAAATCCCAGGCCGGACCTCCCCCCACCAGGTGGCTCTCCGTCCCGAGGCGCCTGAGCCGAGGAGAGGGCTAGGGCCCTCTCCAGGCCCGGGTCTTGACCCTTCTGCTCCTCCAGGTGCCATCTTCGAGGAGAGCGCAGCCAAGGACGACAGGGTGTTCCAGCTGGCTGTGTCCGACCTGAGCCTCAACGATGACATCCTGCAGAGTGAGAAGATCACCTACTCCATCAAGGTCATCGAGGCCAACAACCCCTTCCAGGCCGTGCAGGAAGGTGAGCAACTGCGCAGCCTCGGTGAACAGCTGAGTCCCCTGTGCGCCTGTGTGGCTGGTGCCACTCGCTGGGAGCAGCGGCTTGCTGGGCCCAGAAGGCGGGGAGCTGAGAGGGGAGGCTCCTCAAACGCTCTCCTTCCCTGCGGGGTGGGCGCGCAGGCGTTCGGCTCAGGCGGTCTTTGTTTCTTGCCTGTTTGTGGGTGGGGGTGTCTGCGCGCCAGGGACCTGTGCTGCACATCCCGCCTGGTCTTCCATACATAGCCCGATGTCTTTCTTGCCTGGAGCATCGGCGACCGAGCTCGCCCTCCGTGCCCTCTTGATGTGCAGCCTGGCGGGCGCCCAGCGAGTTCCAGGGCCCTCGGTGATGCCTGGGCCCTCGTGTCCGCCGAGATTCTCCTCTAGGTTTGGAGCAGCCGGTTTCTCTGCCGCTGCCTGGGCCGGAGGTGGGCGCTGTTTGCCCAGGAAAGAAGTGGAGCTGGGCCAGGTCTGGCTGCGGGAAAATCCTATCTCGCGTCTGGGCTGCCACCTCCTTTGGTCTCTGGTCGGTTGGGCTCCGGCTCCATGGCAGGGGCAACAGGTGTGCGTGACAGCCACCCCCTCTGCTTTTCTCTCCTCCTCTGACCCCTCCTCTCCCACCTGGCTGCTCTGGGAGCCAGGCTCTTCCCCCAAGCCACTGCTTCATGGTCAGGGCCTAGGGCTCTTCCAGTCCCCCACAAGCACAGGCTCAGCTCAGCAGCCTGTGCCCTGGGGTGCTAAGATTAGATGGGTTCTTCCGGGGGAACAGGATGCAAGGATCCCTGGCAAGAGAAGCATCAGGGTGGTGGGATGGGGAGAAGGTGGCAGACGGAGTGCTCTCGCCAACAGTTCCTCCTGCTGCCATGGAGCTATCCTCTGGCTGCCAGTCTGCTGGGACCCCTGGGGAGAGGGTGACTCAGTGGTAGATGTGGTCCAGAAGGTCAGAGAGGTGCTAGGCAGGGCTTCCCCGGAAGAGAGGCCTCACGGGTGTCCTGCTCGAAGCAGAAGAGAAGCTGGGGGCCATCTCTGGGGTGGGGACTGCCTACCTCTGCAGAGGGGGTTGCGCAGACCTGGAGTCTGCAGTGCTGTTTTTGGGGAGCCGATGAGTGGGGTGAGGCTGGTGTTGCTGTAGTGGGAACTGCTTCTTCTGGCTTTGGCTGATGTCCACTGAAGTGCAAGGAAGAGGAGTCCCTGCCCTCCTCTGGGCATGTCCCACCAGACTCCCCATCTCCAGATGCCTCCTGCCCCTGGACTTCCTCTGTAGGTGCCCTCATCGCACTTTGCAGGAGCCAGGCTTGGGGACCTTGCCTGAGGTCTGCATCACATTGGCACTTGCTGTTGACCTTCTTCTCTGCAGTGTCCACTGTCCGTGCTCATTCGGTACTGGTACTGGTCAGTCCCCATCTGCAGTTCCCCAGGGACTGAAGGGGCCTCTCTTCTGCCTCAGGAAAGTAGTGTAGATGCGCATATATGTGTTTATGAGTAGCGCCAGACTTGGACTGTAGTGTAGAATCTGACTTTTAACTTGTCAGTTAATGAAACAATTCAAACAATCAGGACAAGCCAAGGGAAACACAGCTATGGGCGACTTGACCTTCACTCCCCAAGTGTATCTTTGTCCTGGTGCAAAAAGCTCCAAAAGGAGCTCCAAAAGGGGCCTCTTTTGGGTTGAGATCTTGCTTTCCAGGCCTCTGTTTCTCTGTTTGAATCACTGGAAGAATGTCCTCTGTCTCCAAGGCTGGTAGGCGGACCCAGTCTCAGAACGGGAGGAGGGTGAGAGTTTCTGTGCACCTGAGGGCTGGCAGTGGTGTGGGTAGAGGGCTGGGGGCCAGGTGCTGTCGCTGGGGCGCCTGCTGCCAGAGGGTGCATGATGGTGGAAGCTGCCACCTGCTTTTGCCTTAGGTGTTGCACGGGTACAAGTCTACATTGTCTCCTGACCTTGCACAGCCCTTGGGGCCTCTGAGGAGTGAGAGTAGTCAGCCCCCTTGGGCCTTTGAAGGGGAGAGTGGTGTGCAGCAGCCTCCTTCTTGGCCTGGGGCTCCGTGGGCAGGTACTCAGCTGGCCACTTCCCTCCTTGGCTGTGTTCTGTGGGGCACTCATCCACCTGGCGGCCTGACCTCTGCCTAGTGGCCACCTTGTCTCTTTCTCCAGGGCCTGGATGTTCACTGCCACATTGGAAGGTAGACTCGGTGTGGTGGAGTGCCTGGCTTAGGCCTCTAGACTGGTTGAGCCTAGTTTGCTCCAGGGACCCTGGACTGGAGCATCGCTGCCTGTTTGGGTCTGAGAGGTGGTAGGGAGAAGATTGTGGTCGCTGGAACCCGGAGAGCTCTAGCCAAAATCCTGCTCCTGCTGGGGGAGTCTTAGCCCTGCTCTGAGGTTGTCCAGATCTGTTAAAAGGTTCGAATACAGTAACTGTGCACCTGCTTCCCGGGGTTATTGGGAGAATTGAATGAGGTGAGTCATGCATAAATCTTCTGCCCTGGGCCAGTGGTAGGTGCTCATAAACCCCAGTTCCCTCCCATTCTCTGGCCCAGCTGCGAATCCTCAGTATCTCTCAAGGCTGTTGATGTTTTCAGCTACTGTACATGGTTTCTGAAGGGGTGAATTCCTTGAGAGAGGACCCTGTGTGACCTTTTTGTTTTTAGCTTTTACTCTTTTACTCTTTTCCTTCCAATTATAAGAGAAATGTGTTGCTACAGTGGTCTTGTGTTGCTTTAAAAATGTAAAAAAGAAAGAGGCCAGTGCATGCTCATTGGATAAAAATGTGGAAGGTGCAGGAAAGCACTTTGAGTTCTACTGCTGTCATTTCCTTCTAGTCTTTTTTCCTCCCTCGGATTGCAGAGAGCCCTTTTTTATCATTTGCATATCCTCCTTTTTATTCATTTGCCATATCATTGGCTTTTTCTGAAACCACTGTGAACTATCTGAACTCTTAGTGGCTGCCTATGTTTTCCAATGTGCAGTTTTTTAGAGATGAAATCATTTATGTTGATCTATGCAGAATTAAGTATTTATGAAGAAAACAAGAATCGGGGTGGGGGCGAGTTCTGACAGTTACACCTGTCATTTCTTCAGGCTGATTTTGTAAAAGCTGCTTACAAACATGACCTTTTTCAGACAGTTGGTCAGTCCATGTGAAAAAAATGGATCGCATTTAATAAAATATGTGCTTGCTGAGATTTAAAGTCAGTAAATAATAACACATCAAGGACATTGTAATCTCTAATATGTACCTTAGATTTACCTGGCAAAGTCCATGTTAATAATCAGTGTAAAAATTTGTCTTCCAGATACAAGAAGAGATACCAATTTGTTAAGTAAAAAAAATTTCGTATTGTTTTAAAGTGCCCGTTCAAGTGGAAGGTTATATAAGTGCACAAAAGGATGAGCGAACAGGGGCCTTCTCTTGCCACAGTCTTGTCTGCAAGTGAAAGGCGAGAGTTACTGGGTGTGCTGGGTTTGCTCTGTCACAGTTTGGAAAGAGCAGTTTAAGAAAGAGGCAGAAGAAAAGGAAAAAGGTAGACAGGAAGCGTGAGTCAGGCTCCTTGCTGCTTGCATGGGGACAGGAGGGTTTTAGGAAGGCAGGGTCAAGACCGGGGTGCGGCTCGGAGGGAGAGCACTTGCCTGTGCTTTGGGGAGGACCTTGGATTCCATGGAGGCCCAGCCTGCAGCCTGCCAGTGGCCTCACTCACCCAGACACAGAAGGGGCTCCAAGCATCCCTGCTATTCTTGCATCCCCTCAGCTGGATTAGTTTTCTCTTGGCACTTAAATAGATGTCATCCCGAAGTTAGTTGGCTAAAACAATGCAAGTGTATCATCTTGTGATTCCACAGGCCAGAAGCCTGATGTGGGTCTCCCTGCCCCAAATCAAGCTGGGTAGGGCTGATTTCCTGTGAAGCCTAGGGAGGAATAGGCCCCTGGCCTTACAGCTGTCGGATGCTGCTGGGCCCCCTCCCTCTGTCTCCAAGGCCCTGGATGGTGGCTCAGGTCCTTTCATATCACCTAACCTTGCTTCTGTCCCATTTCCTTCCTTCAATTCTTCTTCCTCTTTCTCTTTTCCAGGGGTCCTAGTGATTGTATTGGGCCCCCCTGGATAACCCAGGGTGACCTTGCTGTTTTAAGGCTGCTGATTTGCAGACTGACTTCTGTCTGAAACCTTAACTCTCCTTTCCCACCTAGCCTGGCGAGTTCTCAGTTCCAGGCAACAGCTCGTGGGTGTCTTTGTGGGCCATTATGCTGCTACTACATTGGCACACCCGTCTGTGCCCACTGTAGTGGAGCACATTGTCAGCTTGAGGGTTCTCTCCACTTCCATCATCTTCTGCGTGGCTTGCTGTGCCTGTTTGCTGGGTGGCATCCTCTGTCGTAGACAGGCAGGCCGGAGGGACCCTGAACCCAGTGCTGTGCCCTTCTCTAGGCCTGGGAGGTCTCTACGTCCTCACCTGTGTTCTCCAATGACACCATGACCTGGCCCTTCTTCCTTGGCCCTCAGGCTGCTGCTAAAGCTGAAGATGGCTATGGATGAGGCAGCGGGCATGAGTGGCCCCTGCTGTGGCTGGCTGGACATTGGAGCCATCCGGGCCCCTACAAGCCTGTGATTGGGTAGAGGAATGGCTGGGGCACACACACGTGGGCAGCCACATGCACACACATGCTCAAACACACACGTGAGCACTCACACTTCTTTTAAAGACGTGATACCCCTATACTCTGTCTTGGGCTCAGGAGGTTCCCAGCTTGGGAGGCAGGGGGTACCTGGCAGTGGGCATATGGGCACGTCACACCAGGTATGTGGTTAGCAAGCCACAGGCCTATGGGACCCTCTTTCCCTGTGCTGGCTCTGAGATGCTGGTATCCCCATTCCTGGTACCACGTGGATTTAACCAGCTTCCGCCCAGGGCAGCATGTTGGGGCCATTTCCCAGCTTCTCCTGGAGGCAGCAAAGCCAGCCCTTGGCACTCAGCCTGGCTCATAGGGGCAAGCAG